TGGGACTTCTCAGCCTCATAACCAAGTGAACCAATGCTTCCAATAAATCTCCTCTTATGTATACATGTCTTATTGGTTCTGTTTCTCTGGAGAACCCTGACTGATCCAGAATGGTTCCTAGTTCAGAATCAGTGTCTCCAATGTGGTGTCAGTTCATTTGTTGCTGTCATATTCCAGCCATCAATGGACCGCCTGTGCTGTGAGGAGTTGTACCTTATCTACCTGAGATGCTCTTCCAAACACCCTTCTGAAGCCCACCTGACTCTCAGGCTGCCATGGCCAATACACAGAGGTATTCTGTTTCGCCTGAAGTGTTCTTAAAAATACTTACCCATTGTCATCGTTTAAAAAGCAGATATTTTTCATATATTAAAAAAAAAAACAACCCTGAGATTCTGGGCTCCTTTAATAACATGAGCATATCTGGCAACACTCAGCCCATACCCTCACAGGGAAACAACTCCGTAGCTGAGTAGCAGCTGCTGCCTTAGATGAAGTACACACTTGCTAGCTTACTACAATTCTCGCCACTTCTTACCATATCATATCGACCACCAGATTCACTCTTTTCCAGTGCCTGCCTGGCCCTCTGAGCACCTGCACTGGTAACCTAGGTTTGATTAGAAAGCAGGTTGACTAAGCAGGTGAATCTGCTAGTCAAGGATGTCAGCACACAAGGACCCATGGACGCTTTCCTCCATGTTAATAACCTTCGACCACATATGACTCCAATCTGGATGGATATCTCCCTAAGACAGCTGCCTGTTCTAGGGCCCTGTCCTGATAACCTGTCCTGATAACCTGACCTTTGTTCCTGCTTTCTGTCTCTGTTTGAGAGACACAGGCAGTGACCTATGTCCCACTGACCTGCACTGAGTGTGCCCTAACTGATCAGTACAACCCCAGCGGCTTCCGAGGAAGGATGAGAAAAACGAGAACCTTGTCGCCTAACACAGATGGCCTAGTTGAGCTTTTGCACCCTAAACTCATTTCCATAGAATGCCATGAATCAGACGCCATAGTGGGACTAAACTGCAGCAAACAATGCATCAGGACAAATGAACTCACATGTGATGTGACATGATGCAAAGAACACCACTGTGGTTCTAGAAGTCTAAGTGCTTCAGTCATAGTCAATTCGTGCTGTCCTGCTTCTGGGCTGGGCTAGGGTTCCATGGTACCTATTTTAGAGACACCCCAGCAACTACTTAGACTATTGCTGTGGACTGAATGTGTAGTGTCCCCACCCAATTCATATGTTGAGGCTTTATCCCCAAAGTGATGGTGTTTGGAGGAGGGGTTTTGGGAAGGTAATCAGGTCAGGTGAGCGGAGCCCTCATGAAGAGGACTAGTGTCCTTACAGGAAGTGACATCAGAGAGACGGTCTCTCTCTCTCGGCGAGGTGAGAATACAGTGAGAAGACGGCTGTCTCAAAGCCAGGAAGCAGGCCCTTCCCAGGCAATGGGTCTGCTGGTGACTTGATCTGGGACTTCCCAGCCTCCAGAAACGTGAGAAATAAATATCTGTTGTTTAAACCACCCAGTCTATGGTGTTTTTGTTATAGCAGCACAAACAGACTAAGACAACTATATGAACAATGGTGGTCTTACCAAACAAAAAAAGGTAACACTGATTTTTTTAAAGGTTATGTTTTTTCATATCCACTATCTACAGAAACATTACTACTTAGCCTTCTAGTTTAGCGAGATCCAGCAATTTCCTAGATATTTCTGAATAATGCTACTATATTTCTGTATAATCCTAACTACAGGAATTTTGCTTCACCATATTCTGAATAAAACTGGCTCCTTATTTTAAGAGGCTAATTCAAACACATACCATGTTTACAAGTAAGCTTCTTCCCTCCCGAAACACTACATTCTTAGTTTCTGAGTACTTCTTGTTCAGATGATAAAAGTTTTACTAGGCGATTCAAACCTTTCCTTAGTTATCTCACAATGAGTATGGTTTTCCAGGAAAACAAAAACAAAAACAAAAACAAAACCACAATGCTTTCTTAGCATCATATTCTTAGGCCTAATAATTCTTAGAACAAGAATAAATACAGGAATATACATGAGCCAATTTTTACCACATTCTAAAGAAAATTAAGAGCAGCATCTTCTAATGACTAGCTCTTCCTTACAAGAAAATATACAAATATAAAACAATCTTTTGTTCAGTAACTGTAGCGAATACTTACACTTTTATCATTTCAGTAATTCCCACCCCTCCTTTATTCTGGAGACCACTGTTTCTCCCCATAAAGCACACATAAAGCTGAGAAGTTCAGGGGCGTGTACATGGGCCCAAATGGGGCAGGCAAGAGAAAGCTGGTCTATGCCTATCTAAGACTATCCAGGATGGGATCTGCTTCCTGCTGTGTAGACTATGGAAGCACGAGATTTGTAGTACAACTCTCATCTAATTTATACTAGTTTGTGCTGGATTTCTACCGCCTAAAACAAAGGATCCTAACAAATACGTCTTTTGTTTTTGTTTTTGTTTTGTTTCTTTTTTTTTTCTTTTCTTTTCTTTTTTTTTAATTAATTTTTTTTTCAAATACATCTTTTTTTACTGACTGAGTTTTTGTGTAAATGATTTATCTAGCCCTTTGACTTACCTCAGCCAAGAATAAAATTCAGATGCTGAAGTCAGGACTCAATTTCAGAATAAATTCACTCTATCCCATGTAAGAAGCATATGTGCTTAGAGTATAATATTAAGCAAAATCATGATCTGAATATTCAATGGCTTTTTCATTCTATTATAACATTAAAAAATTCTTTTAGATAAAATAGGTACACTTGGACATGAAAACTTATGAATGGACGAAATTTCACTGTAGCAAATCAATAAGGTATGTAGTAAAACTCCATGGTATCTTAATATTTAAAAATTGTACCAGAAGTTATACTTTACCTTTCATTTCTTTGGGATGGTGAGGTAAAATTACATTAATGCTGGTGAAGAGTCTCCTAATCCTAGGAATTTGGGGTGTTGATTTTGGGACTTAGACTATCAGTTATAAGCCTGGTGACTAGATTAGAAGCATCTACATATAATTAATACATAAAGCAGTTCCCAATATAAACTTTGTTTTAAGAGTACAGCCAACTGTTCCAAGGTTCTGAAGTTCAACAACTTCAGGAACTTAGATCTTAAAACCCTCCAACAGTTATTCTGGATAACTTCTGGTATGCAGGTAGCTATTTTTTGCTTTTGTTTTGTGTTATACAAGAGTTTCTCTTTTTTTTACTTTGTTGTTTTATTTTCTATGCATGAAATAAAGATCTAGGAAGATAGTGTTGCAATGTAGGCATTCCATCTATAGGAGAAAAAATACTTTTACAGTACTTTGGGGGATGGGGGAGCTTTCCAATTTTGCCACATAGGTTCCATTTTTCTGCTATATGACTGGCAAGGAAAGCAAGGACATAATAATAAAAAGACAGAACTCTGAGAATAGGAAACAAGAAAATTTAATTTTGAAGAGAAAAAAATTAGGTAGATTATGATCCAAGAAGCATTTTTTTTTCCTTTGACCCTCAAAAACATGAGCAGAGGCAACATGAAGTTCAAATAAACAGGAAAACCAATCAAACTGATAAGGCCCAACAAATCAAAACAGAGATACTATAACTGTAAACTATGGAGTAAAATGATTATGTACCCTCATATATTTTCTCTCTCTCATATATTATTGAATTTGTTTTAAAATGAGCTGAAATAGAGTTTTAACTGGAATATATAAAGGTCAATGAGTCTGTGATCTAAGAGTTTCCAAGGAAACTCCTTGCTATTCTAATAGAGCACAGTAATTATTAAACCAAATTAATTATGCTTGGTAATCACAGTTCTAATATGTATATTTTCTACAACAGATGTAAAGAGACACTAATATAAATTGCTGACTTCCATTTTCACTTGAACTTCACAACCCTTGGATACAGAATGAAAAACTAGTCAACTAAAAACTAAAAATGAAAGTTTAAAGAGGCACAAAAATCTGATATTTTACTTAGGGGAAAAAAAATAATTCTCCCCACCCCCTTGGAGTAGAATATACTAAAAAAAAGTGTTCCCTAATCTTTCTATGGTCTATAGTTTATATTCCACCAGACCACACTTCCAATCATTATCAAGGTTAATATCTGATAGTATTTACTGACCACTACAATATGCAGGAAAACTTGTACAAGAATTCTGTCTTCTCTCTAGACTGTTATAAATAGCGTTAACTCTTTGAACAACATCAGATTAGGAAGGCTGAAATTGTTTTTGCCTTAGACTAACGCTATATAACCACAGGTTGGAATATGGAGCTGAGGGCAGTCACAACCCAAAACCTCATCTATGATGAACCCAGGTCTTTGTCTTCAGGCTTCCTGTTCAGAACTTACTTCCTGATCCATTTAGTTTCTTTCACACTAACCATAGCCTCCTCACTTGAATTCCATGTCTTCTCTGTAAAGCATTTGCAGACCCCTCCGCTAAGAAGCTGCTCCTCAAGCCATCCCCTGCCTGCATCACATTTTAAAGAATGCCATATACACTGGCCTAACTCGATTCTGGGTATCTCCAGGGCAGCCCAATTTTGAAGGTGCCTGAGATCAACTGCTAACATAAATAAATAAAGTGTCCTTCAGCACAGCATAGTTAATATGCAATCCGACTCAAAGACAAACGCATTATTAGACCATTTCTATGAGAGCCTTTCATCCCAATAAAACTACTAACTAAAGGAATTTTTTTCCAAAGTTGAATTTACTTATACTAATTTTATCTTATAAGAAAATCTCATTTCAAAATAACTTTTAGGGTTACTATTTTAGCTTTTAAGTAACAAAGGAACTCAATGGATCTTCAGGCAATTAATATTTTAATACAATTCATCATCCAAACAAAATGCTGGCAAACCAGTCAGACAAATATTCAGGGTTAAATAATGACTTAAAATGCTCATTTATATTCTCATATTGATAATTATATATTTTTACCTTGAGAAGGTATGTAGGAATATTACTGAAATCCACCGGCAACTTCAAAAGAAAACGAGCTGAAAATTCACCGGTCTGTAGAAAGAAAGGCATAATAATAAGATTAAAACCAAAAATAGATTATGAAGTGACAATTATGGCCAAGGCCACTAGTTCAACCTGTTCAAAATGCAGGAATCTTCAATTTGGGAAAGCAACACAGAGCAAGAAAAGAAGGTTGGAAAAGGAGAGGAGGATCAAAGAAAGTATTCAATTATTAGTTACTAAAAAGTAAAATTAGAATTTTTTAAATCTGCATCTTAAATGTACAATAAAATTATAATGCAGTAGTATTACCTTTTTGTCTTTTAAACGTCTAAAAAGAATACGTGAATGTATGATTTTTCTAAATATCCAAACAATAGAGATATACCTGCCCCTTTGATTCATTTGTAGTTTCTAAAGCATTCGAACCACTTCACTAATATTTATAACCCACAGGCTCATGACATATATCACCAGCCTTTATAGTGTTGTCTATTATAGAAGTGCATACAAAGGTCAAACCTCTCCCCATATAAAGCAGTACATCAGTGGGTACCCCAAAGGAGATTTCATTTCCTGACAACCTGTTAACATCATTATCATCAACTGATGTTTTTTGGTAATTCTCTCAAGGAACCAGTTTTCATAGGAAAGATGGACAGAGGTTTGGAGATTTAAAACATTTAACTAAGCTATAAATAATACCTTCTATTTTTTAAAAGAGAAAACTCATGTAAAAGAAAAAAGTCTCTCTCAATTTTTATGATGGAAAAGGCTTAAGGAATCACATTTTTAAAAACTCTGTCAGTCTAGAGGAGGGGTTTACCAACTGGGCTATGCAGATACCAAGGGGTCCCAAGGAAACTGCAAAGGCAACAAAGGTGGGTGCTGAGCTGACGGGGTCCTGGGTCTTCCAGTCTCTCTCATTGCAAGCCCGTAGCTCAGCTTGGGATTTGACATACTGGGTTTCACTATGATACGTTGTTTGGCGAAAGAACTCCAAGAATAATCTAGAGCTACTCTAAAGAGTGGATCTAGACCCTTTTCATACTGTGAGTAGTAACGAGCTCCCAATACTTCCACTCTCTCTCCCCCTTAAAAAAACAAGTGCTGGGCCAGCCAAGTGGCTCAGCTGGTTAAGAGCTCGCTTGGGAGCGCAAGCTCTGAGCAGCAGGGCTGCAGCTCGGATCCCACATTGAGGGCCAGTGACGCTCGCCCTCTACAACTAAGATGGTGAACAACAGCTCAACCTGGAGCTGGGCTGCTGTGAGTCACCGGCAATGCTGTAGGCTGCAGTGGGGCTGCAGTGGGCTGCCGTGAGCTACATGAGTGGCTGGCAGCCAGCGTGAGCCGCCAACCAATGACCGGCGACCAATTGCCTCACCCAGGAAGAGCGCAATGATAATACCAACACGGGCCAGTGAAGCGACATCCTCCACAACTAGACTGAAGAACAAAAGGACAGCAACTTGTCTATTCCCCTTCTCTGATTCCCCAGCACTGTTCCCCTCCCACAATTCCCCAATAAAAAATCTTTTAAAAAAACAAGTGCCTCAAACTCCCCAAAACATATCTTTACACATAGTAAGCATTTACAGATTTTGTTTTGTGATTGCTGGGTGAACACACATAAGCACACAGGCACATTTCTTACAGATGACTCCACAACACAGGCCATTTCCTTCCCCCAAACACCCTAGCAATAAACGGGCTTCAAGGTCCTGGCCCTAATTTTAAAACTCTGACCTAAAACCTTGAAAATGCAACCAGAAATATAAACCTTGAGCTCAAAAGATAACAATGATGACTACCATCTGCATAGTTGTTCAGTTTGTTTTACTGCTTACATCTTTTAACTTCTATCAACCTCTGGCAAGGGACAGATGCTTCTTCATCGCAAGCCTAACCCTGTGACAGAAAAGGCAGAAGCGAGAGAACTGAATGAACAGAATCAAAGCTGAGGCAAGCCAGACAGAGTCACAGCAGCCACTGTGCCACCAGGAATGCCAGTGGCAAGAAACAGCACTCCTCCTCAGAGCTGAGAGGCTACGCTGAGTATGAAACGCCAATACAGGCAGTATCTCAATACCTGAGAGGGTTGTTAAGTGCCACTTAAGGCCCTACAGACAGCTCACCAGGGTGGGTGGGAGGAGGTCTCTGAAAGATCCTAAAACAATTCTTACCTTCTGTTATCATCTAAGATTACTAAAAAGGCGTGCTTTTCGTGTTACATTAAGCTCCAGAGGACTCTAGAACTAACATACCCTGTTAAGTACGAATCTTTGGACCTGAGAGTCTGTTTTTTAAGTACAAGCGGTCATACTTTAAAAGGAGCAGGTATAGGGACAGTATATGAAGTACAGAGTTAAATGGGAACTTGGGGGGCGCCTGGCCCAGGGGGAGTTTGGAGGTGAGTATGGAAGGAACAGAAGTCTTCCTTTAGGGCTGTGTGCAGTGCTGCAGAGGAAGGAACGCTCACCAAAGAAGACATGTTTCCAACAACTGGCCCCATTCTCTTTCTCCAATATAATCAATTTGTCCTCTTGACCCATTCACTTCCATCAGCAGACACACATCATTTAAAAAAGTCTTTCTTGACTTCATATCCCTCTTCAGGTCCATCTCACTTCTCTACTCTACTCTACAAAATAACCTCCTGTGAAGAATTAGTCTATATTTGAGGCCTACATTTCCTCTTTTGTTATTCCCTTGAACCCTCTCCAATCAGCCTTTCTTCCCCGCCACGACACCAAAACAGCTCATCAATGACCTCCCCATTGCCAAATCCAATGTCATTTCTGTCCTCACCTTATTACTTATTCTATCAGCAGCGCTCGGACATAGCTGATTTCCCCTTTCCTGGAACATTCTTCACTCGGTCCCAGGACCCCACTCTCTCTTGGTTCTTTCTCTACTTCACTGGCCCTCCCTCTGAGCTCTCCAATCTCTGAACACTGGCGTGTATACCAAGGGCTTAACCCCAAGACCTCGTTCCTTTGCCTGCACTCCCCAGGTGATCTCATCTAGGCTCAAGACTTTAAACGCCGTTTATATGGTAAGGATTCCCAAACGTTAGATCCCTATCCCAGGCCTCCTACGAATTCAAGGTTCATTTATCCAACTACCATAACTAAAACCAAACTCGCTCTTCTTTCCATATTTATCCATTTCAGTAAATAGCAATTCCATTCTTTCAGCCTCTCAGGCCAAAAAAACCCTCAGAATCATCCTTGACTCCTATCTTTCTCCCACATTCAAAATGGCAGCAAAACCTGCTGCCTCTACCTTCAATTTATATGCTAAGTGCAACCACGCCTCACCACCTCCACAACCATGACCACCTGCTCTGAGCCACTATCATCTCTACCCTGGCTGGCTGCCATCACCCCTAACAGCTTCAACCTGTTCACCTGCAGGTTATTCCCATCACCACAACACCTTAAGTCACATTATGACCCTCCTTTGCTCAAAACTCTCAAGTGGCGGGGAGCTAGCAACAACTGCGCCGAGATGAGAAAGAGGTGAGGTGGCAAACCATGTGGAATCCACGGGAAAAACATGCCGGGCAAAGAGAACAGCAAGTATCAACAGGGATGACGTAGGAGTATACCCGGATGTCCAGTACTACTGGAGCAAAAAAGCACTAATAGTAATCTGAGGTCACCCAGGAACTGTTCTCTATAGTGTAAGCAATTCCCACTAAACCCCTTATGCAACAATCATTCATAAAATTAGTGAACATTGAAATGGCTACATCTATGTGGAACATTTGGTAAGTCATTCCTGGGGATGTTGAGACAGGTTTTTAAAAAGTACCCATGAATTAGAAGAGGTTGGTTAAATAGACAATATATGAGTCAAACTCAATTCATTCCTTCTTCATTTTCAATTTTTAGAGGCAAACCACCTACCAATCAATAAATAGCCATTTCTACCTACTAATCTAAAATGTCAATCTTTAAAAATTAGCAATCTCAAAATTTAGTTTCTTAGACTCTTAAATATATTTTTCAATATATGACTCTTACATATATTTTTGAAACAACAAAAGGAATGAAATGTGAGATTCAAATAATTAAAAGAATTCTTGTACATAAAAGGTAATCAGAAAGATAATTGCATATTTAGCACTTGGACTCACTGGAACTGCTAGTTATTTCAGTCCCTGCATTGTATTTTAGCTCTTTTGCCCTTTTTTAGTTTGTACAATACATTTTTATTCTACCAGCTAGTTTAGACCAACATTCTTTTAAAAATGCTCAAACGATCCCTTTATCCCTTCTCAAAGTGTTGATCCTAGAACTAGTATAAATTTGTTTATTGGCAAATAAACTGATTTATACAACTAAATTCATAACAAATGAAACTTAAGACTATGAAAAGAATCAGGTCTAATAGAAACCATAAAAAGTGCTTTATCATCTCCAACTTGCAAGCTTACTATACATTCTGTATTTTGCTACTGAGAGACTAAAGGAAACTTAGCACTTGCTTCCAATAGCCTTGGAAATGTCAGAAACTATAACTCAAGAGTTCAGTTTTCAGTTCTGCCCAATTTTCCTTGTGACTAAGCTAATCTTCCTCTGTGAAACTGGGTAAGTGGTGATTTCAAACATATCTTAACGTAAAATTTGAGCTATACACATGATATGAGGAGCAAAACACAAGTGAGAAATCCTTTCCAAGTTCTACCTCAGACAATGATTTGTTCCTGTGTTTTTATATTTCAAGTTCCAACAGTTATTTGGACAATTTATGGTCACTCAGTTGTAAAGTCAAAGATTGCTTCCATAGCAACCTTCTCTGTAAGCTGAAAATGAGACATTTTGATGCAGCCAAGTGAACAGAATAATTTGACTTTTTTGTCAATCCTTGGTCAAATCTTCTCTTGGAAAGACGTAGAAAATTATCTGACCTATGACTGTTAAAATGTCAGCCATTCTGCCAACTGCCTTAATGGCAATTTCCCCAGCATTTGGGATAAATATGTGTGTCCTTCCATTTTTCAAGTTATAGTACATTGGCAAGTAACTTAACAAGACGAAGTTCTG